ACTGCTTTAACATCAACAAAAATGCCTACTGTATCTTCTATATGCCATGTCCTTTCAGAACTTTCTCTGTCATGGTTCTTCACAATTACCTGGCCTTTGTAGCTCTTGATAATTTTTGTCTATTTGTTATCTTTCCTAAACCCTGTTCTGCCATCCATTCATTCAAGCTCGCTTAGGTAGGTTATGCATTGATTTCCTCTATACATCTTGCCTTCATTTTATCCAGTGACCATCAAATTTTCCAAGCCCCTTTTTACTCATTTCCCATTTCTGATGTTAAATGTCCTTTTTATTTCTATTTTCTCTAGAAATTTATTGTTTCTCATAAGTTTAAAACATGGTATTATCAGCATCCTTCTGTAGAACCATATTTCTTTTGTCTCAAATCTCCTTTTCACCTGTGTAGAGATAGCACAACATTCACTGCTACATAGGAGGACTGATATTATGTAATGGTTCAGTACTCTTTCTTTCTAATGACACATTCCTGTTTTTTAATCCTTTGCTTATCTTTTGGAAGGTAACTTTTGATATCCTAAGGTGTCCATAATTCTGAATGAGATACCCTGATCAAAATGTTGTAAATGCAAGGGGTAGAAATTCATGTCAATTTATTCTCAAATAAAGCTCTTCTTTCATGACATACCTGAAAAAAAAAAAAAAAAAAAAAAACTAAATTCATAAAAATGTCCTAATCATCCCTGTATATCTCAGAGTATCAACAATATTCTGGTTGGACTTTTGTATCAGATGCCAGTCATTTATCCTTGAAACTCATGAAAATTTTTCCTCGTGGCAATATGGCAATTACTTGAAGCATGGTGGAGTAATGGTTAGTGGCTTGAATTGACGGATCAGAGAACCAAGTTCAAATTCCAGTCAAGTTCATTACATTCACTTACATGCTAATAACCTTTGGAAAGGATTGAATCCATCATTCCCCCCACCCAGATATAGGCAAGATAGCAGGGCAGACTGGGTCCTATAGCCTTGGGTGGCAACCTAAGAGAAGGAAACTGAATTCAAACTGAATTGCATTATCCTAAAATATGTATACATACAGATGGGGACCGACTGTGATTCCAAATTCCCACTTAAACTCCTACCATGAATTTAAACAACCGAATAAATACGACCTTTACTACACTTGGTCAGCCTTCATTCAGATGCAATGGCATAGTTTGATGAAGTTGGCTCAACTGGGTTCAGGGTGAGGTACAACATGGAAATTGCATCGGTCAACTATGTTCCTTTATTCCCAAGTCTTTCTGGCATATCTTTTTCTTTACACATCATAACTTGCCTTATCATGGTGCTAACACCCTCATCAAGCTAGCCACAAACAGATTTGTCTGACTGCACATGACGTTGGATATTCAGTTATGGAAAAAAAAAAAACAACCTTTGTCCAATTCCAAGAAGATAACACTGGAAGACATACTTGCACACCCCCTGGTTCCTTTCCATCAACTGGTGTGGCTCAACCATGTGTACAACATTATAGGTTCACTATCACCTTATGAAAGATACACCTATTTTATGGTATGTATTGATTGTTCTTCGTATTGGTGTAAAGCATCTCCCCTACAGCAAATATTTCCACGCACACTATAGTAAATCTTATTTCTGAACAGGTATCCCTTTTGGCATTCCAGCAATCATTATTGCAGACAGAGGTTAGCAATTTGAATCTGATTTATTCCATCAGTTAATGACAGTCACTTTAAAGTGAATGGCATAATGGAAAGTTTCTGTGAAGAGTTTGAAGTCAGCCCTGGGAGAAATGATAAACCAATCTAATTGACAGGAACATCTTCTCTTATTCATTCTGTACAACAGTAAAAGCTGGCATCCAACTGCAGAGATGCTGTATGGTACCATGCTTAAACATCTCTCACAATTTTTCTTCCAGATTTTACAGAAAGTCATGGACCAAACTTCTTTCATTGATCATTTGACAAAGATGGTGAACTTTGGCATACAGACTCCAAAATCCACAAAAATTTTAGACTTTTTAAATCTGTTTATGCATGTGACACTCTAAAGCAACCTTATAGCTGACCCTTTGAGATCTTTAAAAGGCATCCCAAGTACATTATTATATGAGTTAAAAATGGAGACCAGAATATTTCTTTGAGCAGACTTAAGTCTGCTTTCAGACCTTTACATGGCTTCACATGAATGCTCCAATGATTTTTACATCCCTTGAGTCAGATGTGCCAAAACAGATGAGGATCCAGTCAGGTTGTCATATTAGATGACCTAATTATTTATTGTTAATGTTTTTCATTTTTATCTCAACATTAATTCTCTTATGTTATTGCTGCTTGATTTCAATTTAACCAGGAACTTTTCTTTCTTCACTAATTATGAATGGATTCCTTTTAAATTTTTTTACTTGATTTATGGAGTTGTTACTCATTTCATGTGTTGGTTTTCAGGTTCAGGCGCACAAATATATATTCAGATTATGCGCTCTTCTATATTTGATTTTAAGTGGCATTTTTCTTAAATCTTGTTTTTGGAGGTACTTGTAGCATTACAAAACTTAATATTCTGCCCTTAATTCAACTATAAGTTATTCCCATGTCAAAGGGTAAATTTATGCACAAATAAAAAGTAAATCTTGCAAGATAAATAACTATAAATTCTAAGCCATACTGAGAGTTTGTACCAATTCATTAAAAAGACAGTCTACTCCAGACCTCCATTGTCTTTCAACTTTTACAGCTGGGAACACATCACTGATGCATTGTACAGCCAAATCAACTACCAAGTAAGACTTTAATTCACTTCTCTTTTCAATATCCGCTGATGGACATCACTATCACTGGTTAAACAAATTCATGTTTTGTAAATATATAGATAAAGTATTTTCTCTTTAACCTATATACATGCTTGTTTTCATCCATGAATAAAGTGTTACCATAACACTGGTATATTAATGCTTATATTGGATGAGAAGGTAAATTTATTTCCACCAACCATTCCAATACCTTCATGCCTTCAACAGCACCTTTACTAAAAAGTAAAGAATGAAAATGCAATGTGAAATTTGGAGTGTTAGATTAATACTCTTATAACAGGCTAAAAATTGCAAAGGTACAAAAACCAACAATTGAATCTGTCTATATTTCTGAGATGAAGTATTATGTACATTACTTACATTATTCGGACCATTGTCCTCATCTTTGTTGCCATATTTATCACGACATTTCTTCCGATGTACACTCCGGCCTTCTTCAGGTAGTTGGAATGTCGAACTGAACCCTTTATTTTGCTCACTGGGGTAGACTGTTCTAGTTCCACGTGCCATGTCTAATGGATGTCAGTTATCAGTTATCTCCTGTTAATTCTCCTCTCCAAGTTCTCCACTACCTTAACCAGGTATTGAACTCACAACTCTTTGGGTCCTGTCACTGGATCTAACCAATGCCTTTATCCACTGAGCCATGAGTCCTTAAGGCGTTTGCTACATTACATCCATTAGACATGGCACGTGGAACTAGAACAGTCTACCCCAGCAAGCAAAATAAAGGGTTCAGTTCGACATTCCAAACATCAGAAGAAGGCCGGAGTGTACATCAGCCGAAACATTGTGATAAATATGGCAACAAAGATGAGAACAATAGTCTGAATAATGTAAATAGTGAACGAGCAATAGAGTTGAAGAAAGCCTAACAAAAACAAAAACTAGATTTGACAAAATCCAAAGAAGGTCTGTAATGTTATTGGTCTTGACCTGGCATCTTGGCTTCAATCACCTTCCTACCACCATGACATGGATTCCCTCTGTTTTTTTCCTCCTTGGTACCTTGACCAGATGAATTTAAGCACACTACCAGACTGCCTAGTAGGGAGCATTGTTTTACTGTTGAAATAACTAGATGTAGCCATAAGTTTGATTCTAATAGTTTTTTTTCTTGCACTTCTCGCCTGTGGAACTCCCTTCCGGATTCTTGCTTTTTTGCTACCTGGAATCTTCAAAAATTTAAATAAATACAATATCAATCACCATCTTCAGTTTTCTAGAAACCTGTTATTTTATTGTCCTTTCTCCTTACTAAAATCTTCTCATTCTCTTCTACTCCCACTAATCCCTTGTGTCTTAGTGGCATTAATGCCCTGCTTGGGATGAAATGATAAAAAAAATAAATGATCTCAAATTCTCAGACAAAATCTACACAAGTTGTAGTTCCATTTAAAAAAAATGTATTGAGTAAGTGATAAATTCATCTTCAGTTATTACATTTAGGATGTGTGAATAGACTAACAGGAGCTTAGGAATGGAAATCTTTGAACAGAGTTCAAATTCTAGTTGAGTCAGTTACATTCACTTTCACACAGATACTCATGGAAAACATGAATCCACCTCTTATGCCCCAAGCTATGGGTTAAATAGCAGGTCAAGCTGAGCTCTAAAGTTTTGATTAGTATCTATTCTAGGAGAAGAAAAACTTTGAATTCAAAGCTGGTCAGTGTGTTAATCAGCATATAGAAGCTCAAACTTAGAAGCAATCTATCTAAAGTTAGTGATTCAATAAAAAAACACCCATCTTCCAGTGGCTTGATTCATTCATGGGGATGTGTTGGCAGATAAAACTCTACAATGACTAAGATTCTTAAGCCACATTTGTTGTGCAATCTGACAGAGACAGAGTCTTTTTCATTTTCCGTTTCTCTCAGCATCATTAACTTTTACTTACTTTTCAAGAAAAATAAGTGATGAAGAAAATGATTTAAAAAAATAAAATAAAAATTAAAAAAAAAAAAAAAAAACACACACATATATATATATATATATATGAAATAAATGAGTGTGTGTATGTATATGTAACAAAATGACAATACATAAAAAGCAAAGAATAATGAGGCAAAGCGACAGATTAAAAATGAGCGGAAGTAATAAGTTTAAAAAATAGAAAAAAAATAAAAAAATAAGAAAGAAATTGAGTTTACGTTGCCACAAGAGAAAGTAGACATTTAGGAAATTATTCACATTACCTGCCATGGACAAGGGCGTTAAGCAGGATTTTCGATGCCTCTGTAACGGATATAAAATACAAAATATAAAGAACAGCTAATAAAACACATATTCGTATACATCCAGATGCATCATTAACATCATGGAGTCACTCAGTTCCCCTGCGTGTCTTTACACATTTGTACATATTCACAAGAATACACACTCAAAGCATATATATATATATATATATATATATATATATATACACACACACACTTATACTTAGGAAGCAATTGTTCTTTTAATCAATTAATGATGTTGAATAATGATGTCAATGTTGAAAATAATAGACATTTTGAGCCTATTATATTTATTGATCATTTTTTTTTCTAATGTACAAATATTACCACACGCTTTCAAAACAAAAAATATAAACAAAACTAAAATAATCACATATGATACTAAAACACAATTTTCTTTTCTCACTTTTACCAGGACACAAACTCACGTAACTCAAAAACTGCGACAACACTACATGAATTTTAGCCAATTTATCCACACACAAACACATTTGTTAAAAGAATATTTGTACACGAGAAAAAAAAAAAAAAAAAAAAAAGAAAGATTATTAAATATAACAGACAGAAAATGACTAGTTTTTAACTATATCTTCGGTAAATGGATTAAATCAGACAGATTTTTAATCTATATGTTTAAATGTTATTTTTATAAATGGATACTCATATTTGAGTAGATGCTCCATTTTTATTTATCTATTCAACAGTATATTTATTTATTTAAATCTACCAGCTTGAATGTTGGAAAAATCCTACTGAAAATTGCATAATTTTCCAACAAGTTTTCTCTAATATTCTCGCCAGTAGATTTAAATAAATAAATATACTGTTGAATAGATAAATAAAATCAGATTATCTATGCAAAATGACACATATATATATATATATATATATATATATATATATATATATATATATATAAAACAATATGTATTTTTATATATGAAGAACAATACTGAGGAAATTGTATGATAAAGTGAAAAAAAATTACTTGTCACACATTTTGTCCTTCAGGATTTCATCAGACTAAAGTTATGTTGGTATGATTACATGTGTGCACAAATGAAGAGTGCTGGTGATTTTTTTTTTCCTAGCCGAACTCATTTTGGCTAGATAAAGATAAAAATAAAAAAAAAAAAATTAAAAAAAAATTCTAAAATCCCAGCACCCGTTGTTATTGCACATGTGTAGACCTACCAACATAAGTTTAGTCTGGTGAATTCCTGAATGACGAAATGCATCACAAGTAAATTTTTTTCCACTTGTCATACAATTTCCCCTATATATCTATTTTATAGTAAAAAAGGAAGAACAGTAAGATATGTAATTTCTTCTTATTATTAAGGTGTTCTTATTGATATTTTTACAAAACCGTGCTCAATGTAAATTTACAGAGCATAAATATTATAAATTAACCGATTTAAAAATATGATTTCATCATTACACAGGAATTACCATGTTTCAAAAACAGAAAAAAAAAAACTTCAAATTCAATTATATTAAAAGCATTAGTTCTGTTTCATCTACAAGTGAATTTTGGAATAACTTATTTTAAAATTTACTGAGTTTTAAAAGCACATTGAAAAAAGGCACCCCTACCCCACCTAGACTTAACCCATTTTCGAACGTAACTCATAACTGATACAATAATAGTTAATGAAAAAGAACATGCTACCGTCCCAGTCTAAATGAGTGGATTTCTCTGTATCCTTGGAAACAAAAAATTATGAATATATGTGCTTTCAAAACAGTAAATTTTAAAATAAGTTATTCCAAAATTTGCTTGAAGATGAAACAGAACTAATACTTTTAATTTAATATAATTAAATTTGAAGTTTTTGTTTTTGAAACATGGTAATTCCTGTGTAGCAGTGAAACCATATTTTTAAATCAGTTATATATATATATATATATATATATATATATATCCCCAGGTATGATTCGAATGAATAGAGTACATGTCCAACATTTATAACATTTAATTTAAAAGTGGGCTCAATACATAGTAGAACAATATTATTTATCTTAGGATATTACAGCAAAAACATGCAAGAACAATTCTTATGTTTTTATTATATATATATATATATATATATATATATATATGCACGATACAGAAAACTGCATATACACACAGATCAAATATCATTGAATATTTTATAAAATTTATTTTATAAAACTGGATTGAATGTTTCCATAATAAATTTGCATTGATATTGAACATTAATTCAACATATGCCAATAAAAAATGATGGCAAATGTATTTAATTTTGTGAAGACATTACTTATGCATTATCAGAAAGTTTATGTTCTGTGTTTTCTTTTTTGTATGAAATGCTTCCTGAATATTAAACTAAAAGTAAAATTAAAATATCAATTGATTTTTTGATTTGTCGCCATCCTATAAATGAAAACAATTATGACGAACTCATTTTTAATATAGTAAAACATACCTTACTTTAAAAGTTTGTTTATCTACTAAGGTAATTTCAAAGTTCCTTTGACACAAAATTTGTAGCATGCTGCAGGATTTTTACTACCTTAGCAAAAGAATGCTACACATATAGATATATGTATGGATTTACATTATCATTCTATATGTGGATAATGTATTACAGAATTACAGGTACTGGTCATATAGTAATGGTTTTTTAGTAAATTAAGTCCTAACTATTTTAGCCTTGTGTTAGGATAGGCAAAAGTTCTACATAAGGATAGTAATACATTTTAAACCATTTTTCTATAAGAGGAATATAAAATGTTACTAAAAAGTTTAAGAAAATGAAAACATTAAATATTCTTAATATATATATATATATATATATATATATATTATTATAATAAACGTGCAATCAATTTACAAATACATGAATTATTCACACAAAACTAATGCAAAGGTTAATGATTTAAATGGCGAGACATCCATCATCGCAAACAATTCAAATAGTATACAAAAACCTCCAAATCCGTTATGAATGAATTGATCCTTGTTTATATAAATTTCTGCCGTATTAGTTGTTATTTTTACTACAAGCTTTCGTCTGTTCCTACAGACATCTTCAGGTATAAAATAGATGTTGTTCTTGTTTTTTTCTCTTAGTAATAAGAGGACAACGAAAATATATGTGTTGTTGTATCAAAAAAATGCTATTGAAATGAGTTATTGGTTTTGGAACGCGCCAAAGCAACGCTGAGTTTGATTTTAAATTTTTTAAAGTTTGTGTGTTCATACAAAATATGGTGATGAACAAATTTTTTTACTGGTAAATTTTTCTGTCAAAGTGGCATGAACTATATTGTTCAATAATTACAGTAATGTCGCACTTATTATTATTATTGAAGGTTTTTGTATACTATTTGAATTGTTTGCGATGATGGATGTCTCGCCATTTAAATCATTAACCTTTGCATTAGTTTTGTGTGAATAATTCATGTATATATATATTTGGTTGGATAGATGTGAGTTTGTGATCCTGGGTTTCAGGCTTTAGCGATCATCAGAAAGAAATATAGTCTTAAGGTATGCTATATTTATGGAATAAAGTGCTCAATATCAGAGATAGAGCGTGTAAATATCCAAGTAAATAAATAAACAAACCAATCCCAAATAAAGATAATCAATTAAAACCTGTTCCCGCCAAAATAATAGCTAGAATGAACCACAACAATCAACTCCAAAATTGAACAAACAGCTTTAATTAAACTCTCAAACCAAAACAAAACTGTTAAATAAGTGATATAAACAAATTTTTACTATGTTAATAAATAAATAAATAAAAAAAATAGGAAACAAAAAAATAAAAACGAGCAATATAATTTGACCCAAGTAAATAAACAACTTCCGGTAAAATAACCGCCATAATAGAATACCCACAATGCACCACTAACCCGTATATATATATATATATATAAATAGCCAAGAAAAATAACAGCATATGTGGCCTGACGATTGCATATAGCATGAAACAGACTGTCGCCTCTAAGTGTTGACTTCTATGTTCACTTATATATATATATATATATATATATATATATGCATGATACTTAGTGGAAAGCACTCAATATCAGTGATAGAGCTAACATAATAAGTGTGTGTATGTGTGAGGAAGTGTAAGTTTCTCTGACGGCCCATGCTGTAGATCTGACAAATGTCAAGAACACCCCTACCCATTCCTTATTGAAACAAACATTGCTGCATATAAAAAGCTATGGTCCCAACACCGAAATAAAATTACAACTGTGTATGTATGCATGCCTGAATGCGCAGATATGTATCTGCGCCTAGCATTGAATTGCTTATATGGATGTGTTGGTGTGACTAAAATGTATCCACCTGTACGTATGTCTCTATGCATATGATAGTGCCCACCCACTCAAACACAGAACTAGATTCCCCCTCCCACTGCCAAACATAGTCAAACAAGCATAAATAGATTCAATTTTTAAAAATAAACCAGTTTGTCTGATGATCGCAAAAAATGTGAAACCCAGAGTCACAAACTCAGTTTCATACAACTTATATATATATATATATATATATATATATATATAAATAACGATAATGGACAACAACGCATATCTTTATATAAATACTTATATTAATGAACAACAGATAGTTGTGTACCACTTGCACCTATGAAGATGATCTTGAGAGAAGGTCGAAAGTACTTGGGAAATTAAAATAAAAGAAATTTAAACAGCTATAGCACATTTCTCTCATCCTTTAACATCAATACACGGAAGGTTATTCGTGAGTATGAATGGATTTTGTTAAAAATTAGCAGACATAATGACTGTAATTTATTCAATCAGACATGCCTAAAAGAATTTTCAGCCTAAATACACATATATATATATATATATATATATATATATATATAAAAATTGTGTATTTGGGAAGAAATCCCTCTTTATAAAGTTTCATTAATGATTAATGACATTGCGATTAAGCATTTTGGTCAATTTTCATGTGTTCATATAAGTGTTTTCTTTTTGTGTCAA